ATATTCGCTACGTATTCAAGCGAAGCGATATAGTGTAGCTTCCATCTACGATCCTAGTGTAGATTACGTAATGTCCAAAACCGGCATATATATATAGAAGGATAGGCAAGAACTAGATTCTTCACCACCTCCGTAAATGGCTTTTCGGCGTCCTATGCACTTCCAAGGATCAGTTGAACCAACTGGATATTTTTGAATAAGAAGAACAAAAGAAAATATTTAACGTTACCAAACCCGTGAAGATCTGCATTAATGGCCGCTCTATCCCGCCTTATACCACATGTGTTCATCAATAAAGAAAATCACAGAAAAATCACAGAAAAATTTACAAAGATGGTATTCTCTTTGGGGTTAAGTTATTTCACTTGTCTACACAAACTAAAAATATCATTCAACCAAAGCCGTTTTCAAAAAAAATATATATATATATATATATATATATTTTTTCAAACCAAATGAGAATTGATACTTGTATAAAAAACCATAAACTAGAATTTAGTTCTATGAGATGTATATTTCTTCTTTAGTCTCCACGTTCCGCGTCTCTAAACGTAATGCCATGATATGCTTTGGCCCACTTAGCAAATGGGAGAAGACCATTAAATTTTTCTAGTTTAGGTGATTTATCCTCCTAATCTTTCATTTTCATGGAATGATCTAACTGATATACATTTCCAAAGTCAAAGGATCTCACTGAATTTCCTTTCCAATGTTACAGATCCGAGGCCAAGTTTATCAAGAAGGTCCTTAAGGAGGTTGGGAAAGTATTAACCACCTTTCAATCTGATGAAGGAAGAGAAGAGATTGCGTGAAGAAGGTGACAACGAATAGTGTCCCAGTGGCTCTGCCATGACCATGGTTTGGGCTGCTAGGTGCAGTGCTCTTAGCGTCCCACCTTACCCAGTGCACTCACTCTCAAAATTAGCAAGTCTTTACTAATTTGTTAAGTTACCTCTTAGTTAAGTTATTTATTTTATAGTACCACCAAAGCAATAGAAGTTTACTATATTCGTATTCTTACGATGTTATCCGAACTACAAAGATGAACACAGGTCCTTTTTTTTCATATGAATTCTTACAGTAAATAATGTTTCTATTAACCAAGAACTCATGCACTTTGTTGGCACTTGTAAGGTGCTTGGTAGGGCGCTTGGTAAGGTGGTCGGTATCCTTTTATTGATTTACTCGCCGATCTTGTTAACAAGTGTGCCGCACCAGCCACTCTTGCTGGTCAGGCTGGCTCTGTTATGGCTTTTTTGAGCCGCTGGGCCGATAGGTTTGTCTGAGAGAGATATTGTCTCTCCCTGTTTTTGTGGCTCCAATTTCTGATGCAAATAAAGTAAAGTTGCTTGAGCTTTGCCAATGTAGTTTAATGGAAAAACAGAAGCAGGAAATAACATATCACCATCTGTTCTAGCTACATTGATCTTTGAGTACAAACTGAAAACGTTTAAGTGAACTCTACCAGTAGGTTTACAAGAAAGTTGAACAACGGTAAAGAACAGATAGTTTGATGATCACGTCTCCTGGTTTTTATCTCCCTCGAGATTCATTTCTTCTACTTGCAGCATATATCTGTGAAGCTTGAAACTGATTCACAGGAAATATAGAGCATTTATTTTGGTTTCATTGGAGTTTATAGTGAATTTAGAATATGTTTCTTTTATTTATCATTTGTGTGCGATTCTTATAAGAACCCGAACCAAAAGTTATGTTAACTTCAGCACTATCAAAAGAGGTGGAGATTAAAGCAATAGCCTATGGAGACGTGAACATCGACTAAGGAAATTGGAACCATTGGCTGAGCTTTACGTCCAGCTTTCTGTTTAACATTTTCTCGGATAATTGATGTTCTAGTACATCATAATTGATGGGTTATAAACAACCAAATCAGATGCAATAAGGAAATAAATTTTGATAAACAATCTCTCCTAATAACATCTGAACTGCATACTCATACGATATAGAAGAAACAAGTCTTACTTCAAATACATGAAAGAAAAAAAAAAAACAAGTGCAAAAATCTGTCAAATAAAAACTTAATATCCACCCTTGAGATCGTTGACAACATCGTAAGGTATAGGAGTGACAGTCTCTAAGGTCATACCCTCGACCATGAAACCCGGTTTAGGACCTTTAGGCTGTCTCTTGGTACTGATCGTCTCTCCTCTGGCTTTGGCTGCAGCCTTGAGCTCATCGTTCTTCTTCTTCCTGAGTTTGAACTCTTCAGCACACCTTGACTGCTGCACATGCTCCACACGCACATGTATCCTCTTCCTTATGATTCTGTTCCCAATCTAAACACCAACATAAAGCCACACAACAAGTTAGCTCTTCAAGAGATCACATTACCATAAAGACTTGAAATTCAAAGACAGATACAAAGATAAGGCAACATCTCAAGTTAAAATCAAAACATCACAAGAACCATCGTAGCAAAAGAAGGACACAAGCGATAAAGGTAGCAACTCTAGCCTATTCCGACACTCTAAATCGATAGCTAAACAAAACCCATTTCATTACTCTAATTCAGCAAATGAACAATCTTTTAATTAGTCATGAACCATAATACGAACTCAAACAGATCAAATCGAAAACTTTCAACAATTGCAGACCTGTTTGTTGACTTCGACACCAACGGCGCGCTTGGTGACGTTCCAGATTCGACCAGTACGTCCATGGTAGAACTTGTGAGGCATACCTTTGTGAATAGCTCCATTAACCTTCACATCGACGTAATCTCCGACTTTAAAGGTCCTGAGGTAAGTGGAGAGTGGGATGTAACCCTTCTTCCTGAAGGGTCTCGCGAAGAGATCTCTAGTTCTCGCCCTCACTCCGTGACCCGCCGGCATTTTCTCTCTCGCTGTGACTGGTGGCTGAAACCTAAAGATGGAGAGGTATAAAGAATGAAAGTTATAAAGAGACTAGGGTTTTTTTACACGGGCCTAATGGGCCATCGATTCAACGCATTTTCTTCTAAAATACCCATTTGATTGTGAGAATTTTGAAGAACGGTAATTGTTTTGTAAATTACAGAAAAGCCTCTAGATTCTTACAAATTATGCGATTTGGATACAGAGTTAGTATCTAGTTCAAAATAAACCCAAGGTCTCTCCATTTTCTCACCCAATGAGCTCGATTTAACACACTGTAAAAAATTATTATGATTCTCCAAATATAGATTTAGTTCAGACTTCAGATTCAGATTACTAAACTTAAAAATAAGGTAATTTATAATTATCATTGTACAAGCATTCCACTTTATATTTGCAGGTCATTATATTATTGCATTTATGCAAAAAATTAGTTATGTGTCTTTCCAGAGGTTGGTAACTATTATTATTATTGAACATTATACAGCGTAGCATCATTGTATATTATAATTGTAGTTTGTTATAGAGTTTATTGTATTTTGTATATGTTTACGTGATGAAGTCGAATTCGTTGAAAATAAAGAAATGAACATGACAAAGAAATTGCAACCTTTCACTGTCTTTTACTACTTTGATGCTTATGTCTATGATAAGAAACCAACATTTTATTGATTAAGAATTAAGAATTACAACTATGGAATATAGGGTTTATTCTTCAGTCCCTCTCTCTCCTATAGGCTATAACACAGAGCAATCCAAAATACATCACACACACAATGCATACTGTTCTCAATACAATCTATTTTCTAATTATGCTCTACTCCTCTTTTATGATTATGTTATTCTTCTCTGTGGTTTCTGGTGACAAAAATATTTTAAAAGAGCTTTGCTAGAGCGAGTTGAGGAATGTAACGAACTGAAAAGGCTCTGCTAGGTACGGTTTCTTTATTGAGCTAGATTTAGGTTTTCCTTTCTCTAGTGGATTTGGGAATCAGGTTTTTGAGACAATAAATACAAGGCTTAGGGTTTATAATTATTCATTCACACAATTAATAAAAAAACCCTAAATGGGTGTTTGCCTCATTTTGCAATTTCTCTCTATTGTTTATTGCTTTCTTCGCATTGATTCACGACATTTTCTTCTTATTTTCATTTACAGCTTCATTCTTGTCTTGCCCATCCACGTCATTGTTTTGTTTCTCCTCCCACAAACTTCTCAGCCAATGCAACCTATCAATATATTTGCTATGCTTGTTTAGAATCTTTGTTAATCTTAGAAGTGATGATTTAAACTGTTTGAGAATTGGTGTAAAAAATAAAACTTAAAAGAGAATCGTATTGTCAGGATTGTGCCACAATCTAAGAAAAACAACATAATTGGCAAAGAGGAGAGTAAAAATGCTCGTATGTGTACTCAACAAAATCGTGAATACACATATGGTTGAGCTTGGGCTCTTGACGAACCTAACAGAAATTTCCTGCAACTTCCATTTAAGATGTTCCATTGAACTATGGATTGACTAACCCTTATTTTCATTTTAGCTATTTTATTTTATAACATTAATTGAGTTTGAACGTTAAAGCTAATCTTCGATACTAATGGTCTCGTAAGTCGTAACATTTGCCAAGTGTGCTGTTATTGTGAGATCAGTTAGACCATCTCCAATGGTCCCTCATTTTAAGGGAAAACATCAAATAACAGAAACTCTTCTCCAATGGTACATCATTTTGAGGGAAAAAATGAGTTTATGAACAGTATTACATCAAATTTGAGGGAACACTATTCATCCCCTCATTTCACTTTTTAGCTTTGTTTATTTGCAAAATGATCATTATAGTTTTACATATATCTCATATATATATATATATATATATTTTTTTTTTTTGTCAACAGCCTAGATACCTATAACGATTTGACAGACCAAACCGGAGGTACCGAGTTTACATAATTAACATCACAAGGATAGATCCGAGCACTTCTTGCTAGGTTATCTGCCTCCCTATTCTTCGCGCGTGGAATGTGTGATAGTGAAAAGAAACTAAACCGCTCCTTGATCTTCACGATTTCCTCCAAGTGTATAGCAAAAGCTGGCCATTCGGCGGGTCCAGCCACCATCTGCACCAAATCCGAACAGTCTGTTGCAAAAGCGACCTCTATCTTCTGATTCTCGATCATGCAAAGCTTGGCCCAAATTAGGGCTTCCATCTCTGCATGCAGAGGTGATAGACTCCGTCTGACATTTCGTGCTCCCATTATTCTGTCCTTAACCCTGTCCTGGAAATAATACCATCCCAATCCCGATGATAAATCTGTTGCCTTCCAAGAGGCATCAATAAAACACCACCAACCCTCATATATCATTGGTTGTGACATCAAAATGTTCCTATTGTCTTGTATCCCTAAATCTTGCTCATTCGTTTGAGCCTCTGTCCATAGTACCGCCTCAGTTTCTGCCTCTTTTAAAGTAATCCTTGGGTCCACATCGATATTCGAATAAACTTTCTCATTTCTTGCTTTCCATATATACCACGCAATCCATGGAAATTGAGAATTGTTAGAATTCTTTGGCAATCTCCAGAACAGATAGTCGAAATTTGAGAAAACCGAAGTCATTGGAAAAACGCCCGGAGGGGTCGGTATCTGAGACATAGCCCAAGTCTGCAGGGCAGGGGGGCATTCAAATAGAACATGGTTAATAGTTTCTTCCTCTGCTCCACATCGTGCGCATTAAGTGTCACATTTTATTCCACGTGTCTGTAATCTAGCTGACATGGATAGACATCCAGATATAGCCTGCCAAATAAAGTGTCTTAATTTCGGTGCACACTCTAATTTCCATGTGTGAGCCTGTAGAACTTTAACATCTGGGCCGTAAATATCATTTCGCGGGCAGTCCTTGTATTGTTGCTCAATGTGATATCCCGATTTAACCGTATATCTACCAGAATTGGTAAAATGCCAGCCTAGTGAATCCTGGCTGTAGGTCCTGCTAATAGGTATTCCTCGAATAATTTCCACATCCGCAGGTTCAATAATTGCATTTAGCAAACCCATATTCCAAGTATTTGTCATTGGATCAATCAGGTGATTTACCATTAGATTCAGGTAATAGTTAAAACCCTTACAAGTGGCTGATCTCGGGCGGGAGTCTGGTATCCAGAGGTCATTCCATACCGAAATGGAACAGCCCGAACCAACTCTTTTGATTAGCCCTTTATTAACCAGAGATCTAGCCGATATTATACTCCGCCAGCCATAGGATGGCGAGTATGAGCGGATAGGTTCCAAAGGGGAAGAACTCCGAAAGTATCGTCCCTTAAAAAATCGTGCAAACAATGAATTTGGTTTATCTAATTAAACGCCATAATTGTTTTGCCAATAGTGCTGTGTTAAAATCCTCCACATTTCGGAATCCAATTCCTCCTTCTGTCTTGCCTCTGCACATCTTGTTCCATGCGATCCAATGCATTCCTCTATTGTGCCCATCAGAGGACCACCAATATCTCGCCGCTGCACTTGTCAACCTTGCCGTCGTAGACTTGGGTAAACGAAAGCATGACATTACAAAGGTAGGAATTGCCGATGCTACTGACTTAAGTAAGACTTCTTTTCCACCTTTTGATAATAACCGCGAGGTCCAGACATTAATCCGATCATGCTGTCTTTCCGCTACAAAATTAAAGACTCTACTTTTGGCCCCATCTAGACTTTCCGGGATACCCAAATAGGATCCATTTCCTCCAATCTTCGAAATACCTAATAGCTGTTTCAACTCATTTTGTACCTCCTCAGAAACCGTATGGCCAAATACAAGAGATGATTTATCAAAATTAATTTGTTGGCCTGATGCTCTTTCATACGTAAACAATATAGATAGAATCTTCTGAATCTCTTCCTTTTTTGCTTTGCAAAAGAATAAACTATCATCCGCAAAAAGTAAATGTGTAATCGGTGGGCTCGCCCTTGCGATCTTTAGACCCGTCAGTAATTTTTCCTCTTCCGCTTTCCTTATATTCGAAATTAAGGCCTCCGTGCATAATATAAATAAATATGGTGATAAGGGATCCCCTTGACGTAATCCTCTGCCAGGAATGATTTGTCCCTTTGGTTGTCCATTCAAGAGGACTTTATATCGAACCGAAGTTATACATCTCATCATCCAAACTATCCATTTTTCCGCAAAGCCAAAACGTCTCAACAAATTCGCAATAAAGCTCCATTCAACTCTATCATAAGCTTTACTCATATCGGTCTTAATTGCAACAAATTTGTTTTTGCAGGACTTGTTGGTCCTCAGTCCGTGAAACATCTCCTGGGCAATTAGGATATTATCCGAAATCAACCGTCCTGCCACAAAGGCTGATTGTGTTTCCGATATCAGGTCCGATAATAGCTTTTTCAACCTTTGACATAATACTTTGGAAATTATCTTATAGCCCACGTTACATAGGCTGATGGGGCGTAATTCTGTCATCCTGGTGGGTCTTTCCGTTTTTGGTATTAGACAAATATTTGTCATGTTCAATCTCTCATCGAAGCTCCCTGTGTCCAGAAAACCGTTAACTAATCCTACTATATCTGCCTTGATGATTTGCCACGAACGTTGGTAGAAAAGTGCAGTCATGCCGTCTGGTCCCGGAGCTTTTTCAGGATGCATCATGAAGAGAGCCTTCCGTACTTCCTCCTCAGTAGCCCTGGCCGTGAGCATCTCATTATTGGTTTCCGAAATTAAAGGTTTTATCTCCTAGTGCTTCCTCAAACTCTGTCGGCGATGTCGACGTAAAAATGTCGTCAAAATATTTTTCCGCCACTTGTTGTATCTCTTTTTCGGAAGTAACCCATGCACCTGCTGTGTTATGTAAGCCAATAATTCGGTTCTGCGCTCTCCTTTGTTTTACTAATGCATGATAGAATTTTGTATTCTTGTCTCCATCCCTCGCCCAGTGGGTACGGCTTTTTTGTTGCCAGAATAATTCTTCATCCCTATATGCTTCCTTTAACTTTTTTGTGATCTCTAATAACTCCTCCTCCGTACTTGTATCATCCGTCTGGATCTCGTCTAAAGCCCGTTTTAACTCATTAATTTTTTCATGTCCATATGGTAAGGAGGTTTTCCTCCATCTGGATATTTCCTTCCGGCAATTACGTATTTTATCTACAAACTTCACTTCTCGTCCATTACCTAAATCCCAACCTCTAAAAATAGATTCCATTAGGCCTTCTTGTCCTAACCATCTTTTATCAAATCGAAACTGTGATTTTTTCCTTGGAATTTTATCCACAATTGTAGCGACTATTGGTCTATGATCCGAACCAACCATTGCCAAATACTCGACTACAGATTGGGGGAAAATCTCATGCCAATCTGCATTTGCTAGAGCCCGATCAAGTTTACACCTCACCACTTTTGAATTCCGCCGTCCTCTCCAAGACATAGTATTTCCCAAACATGGAAATTCCAAGAATCCACAGTCCCGAATCATGAGATTAAAGGATACAAAAGTTGAAGCATGCCTTAGAGTACCTCCTTCTTTTTCATGATTACCCGTTATTTCGTTTAAATCACCAATAATAAACCAAGGGTCATTCCGATTAAGGCTTATTCGTGTTAGTCTTTCCCAAACTTGGTCCCGCAATTTTGGAACCGGATCTCCATAAATAAAAGATATAAAGACTTTTCTTCCGAGAACATTTGCTTCGATATCAATAATTCTATTATTCGAAAATAAAATAGTAACATCAAAAGCAGAATTATAAAATAAAGCAAGTCCACCACTTGCACCGCACGGCTCCACCGTGTACAATTTATTATAACCAAAATGAAATTGAAATTTTTGTAAAAACGAAAAATCTTGTTTGGTTTCAGAAAGAAACAAGAACTCAGGTCTGTGTCTCTTCCACACCTCCCGAAGATAACTTATTGTCCAATGACTCCCTACGCCTTGGCAATTCCAGCTGAGAATCCGCATAAATCAAATAGGTCATGGTTTTGGATCTATTATCGGGTCTGATGAACCCTTTGAGCCGCCTAAACCTGTTCCTTCCTTGTTCCGATCTGAAGTTTTTGCTGCCTGTTTTTTCCGAGGAGAGATTAGAGCTTGCACCAACCGTTTCTTTGTGGTGCCTACCAAAACCTGCGAGGAAGTCTTGGTGAGTTTCTTCTTTGTTCCCTGTTTTGTGACCCCCACCAAAGCTTCCGAGCCCATCTCCTTTGTCTCTATCATAGTCTCCCGATCTTTGCCACCACCGTTTTCAGATTCCTTCAGCGTATCCATCATCCCCTCTTCTTTTTGATTCACCATTGCAGATATTTCAACAATCTCTCCATCCTCTTTTCCACACCTCTCATTCGCCTCCGTTAGTACACCTTGCGTCTCTTTCGGAGTAGCCGCTTCCATCATGTAACTCTCCTGCCCCTCTAACATCATACCCATCCCGATATTATCACCTGAAACCTCTTCACCCATGATTGCTTCCTCAAAACTCCCAAAGGAATCAGAAATTTCTGCCAACCAATTCATGTTCTCCGAATCCATTAAGTCTTTGTCCCGAGATCCATAACTAACAAAACCACCATCTTCAAAAGTCAAACTCTTATTTACTATATCTAAACAAATTTTTACTATATCTCATATATATCTAAACAAATTTTTAAACTTTTATTTACTATACAAATATAATATTATTGTTTTTTAAAACATAATAATAAATAAATATTAATTAACTTTATAAATAAAAACGTAAAAATATAATTTTTTAATTGTCATGTTTAATTTTCTTTATGTAATAAATGTTTTAATATAAATTAAGAATTTTGTTTGCTTAAATTTTATAATTTTTTAAAATAGTTGGGTATAATTTGTAAATTTAGAAATAATGGGTGTTGTTTGCAACTAATAATAAAATAAGCATATACTTAGAATATTCATTTTTGAGGAAAAAATGAAGGAAAAAATTCTACCTCATTTTGAGTTTACTTCATTTTGAGGGAAAAAATGAGGGAAATGAGGGAAACAGATGCTCTTACTAAGCAACAAAGTCAAAAAGAAACACTCGTTAGTGAATTATATCTCATTTGGACGATATGCTTTTCTATAGACCATAAACATGCCCATTTGAACATGATCATATTTGTACGCGGTCAACTTTGGGCGCAACCATCTTGGGCGCAACCATCTTGGGCGCGGACAAGCCCTAGGACCAATCATTTTGTCAATTAAAGAAAACCTCTAAATTCTTACAAATTATGAGATTTGGACACTAAATTTGTTTATAGTTCAAACTATACCCAACCGGCACTCTTTTCATACCTAATGAGCTTGGCAAAACTCACTAAAGAAAATCAATTTCATTTCTCCAAGTTAAATGTAACTCAGGTTTTAGTTTATTGGAGTCTAGTTATATAATGTAGTCTACTCGAAGAAAACTTACAAGTTAAATGAGTGAACAAAATTTTACACTATAACAGAGCGTTAAAAAAAAAAAAAAATTAAAGCAAGAGGAAAAAGTTGTTCTAGTATCCGTGGATCACTCTCTGATCTAAATAAGCTTCTTCCTTTCGAAGTATTGCTTCAAGTACAAAATCTGTAAACCAGAGACCACAATGCAGATGCCCAGCGACATTATACTGTACCATGCGACTCTCGAGTTCGTTTTCTCACTCACAATCCTCATATCAGCTTCTCTGCAAGCGTGACAAAAGAGAGAGAGTGTACGTGTTTTGATTATTTTTCAAGATTTTCAAAGAATGTAGCAGTTAACTAAGTTTTACTTTTTACCTGTTTCTGAGGTAAAGTAGATTTTCATGGATGGCCTCAACTGCTCCTTCGAGTTTCTTAAGCTCAAGCTCCACACCCTACGTTTCAAGGCAAAATCGTATGTCACATAGAGACTAGCTTTGTTGCACAAACTATTCTTAGATGTGTGTTGAAGATTTTTTGAGTATTTATTTTTGTGTGCAAATTGTTGGAAAATGGAGAGCTGACCTCGATCTTCTCTTTTCTAGCAATGGAGTCCCAATCCTTGGCCGCGATTCCAGTTTTCCAGTCAATGTTCATGCTAATATCTTTGTTACCATGACTGTTTCCTACGGCTTCAAAACACGCCAAGTAGGTTCCTGATTCTTGGGTTGTAAATGCAAACTGACCATGCGTTGTGTTGTCGCTGTGGTGCAGAACGTTTCCATATGGTGATGTAACCTGCCATAAACAACATAGAAGTTTCAACAGTTGTTTCAGTGTTTCACTTTTTTCTTCGAGTTGAGATACCTCATAAACTTATATTCATATAAAACTACGTCGAAATAATAGAGAACTCAATGTCTTTACTACGCATTAGTTCGAAACATTTTTACTCTCTGATCACACATTTCATCTATAGACAAAGCTAGTGACATGTCGAAGTAAAAATCGAGAAATGTGTTGACGTAAACTGCTCACAAACATACATCCTTTTACTACAAAAGCTTGTCTTCCTTTCCCACTAAATCACATCTAAATGCTTAAGATGCGCACCTAAGCATTAGTTCGAGACAAGTTTACTCTCTGATCACACATTCCATTAACAGACCAAGCTATTGACCCATGTCGAAATAAAAACCGAGAACTATGTTGACAGTAAAATGCTCACAAACAGACACTTCTCTTTCCACTAAATACATCTAAATGCTTAAGATGCATACCTAAGCATCAGTTCGAGACAATTTTACTCTCTCATCACACATTTATTAACAGATAATGCTATTGACCCATGTTGAAATGAAAATAGAGAAATATGTTGACGGTAAAATGCTCACAAACACACAGTGCTTCTTCCCACTAATCACGTTTAAATGCTTAAGATGCAGAACTGAGTAATCAACATCCATACACTGATCTCTTATCGCAACCTTTGTGCCAATATGTTTCTCTTATCACATTCACATAACGATCTCTTACCACACATTAAGATTTTCTTATTTTTTCTCAATAAATCAGCTGTTATTCGATGGAATCATAGATAATTCGATGTCGTAACTAAGAATATTCGAGACATTTCTACTCTCTGATCACACATTTCATTAACAGACCAAGCTATTGGCCCATGTCGTATTAAAAATAGAGAAATATGTTGACGGTAAAATGCTCACAAACATACACTTCTCTTCCCATTTAATTACATCCAAAAGCTTGTGATGTAGAACTGAGTTAAAAATAGCCATATACTGATCTCTTATCGCACCCTTTGTGCCAATATGTTTCTCTTATCACATTCACATAACGATCTCTTTTCACACATTAAGATTCTCTTTTTCTTTTTTCTTCTATGAAACAGCTATTCTGCAATGGTTTATATTCACTCAATGAAGATGAGATGAACAATCAAAAACCTATTCGAAAATTACTTCAACAATCAACGGAAGATATGCACCCCTCTAAATCACATCATGAGCACATTATCAAAATAAGGAAACTTGAATCGAGCATCAAATTCAATCAATGCCTTACAAATTCAGTATGAAATTAAAGGACAATTTATAGAAAGTAATGTCGATTCACATGAAAATGGATATTAAATTCCCTAAAGTAGATAACAGATCAAAGCACAGAGTCCAGATTCAGATCACAAATAAAGCGACGAACGGGAAACAAATAATTCGAATCTAGAGAAAACACTTACCTTAACGGAGACAGTAGGGAAGATGGAATGCTCGTCGGAGATGACGAGGTAATCAGCCAAAACGACGACCTTGCTCTGGATTTCCTCAGAGACGCACTTTGTTCCGGTCCTGGGAATGGTAAGCCACACGGCTTCACAGACCGGACTTAGCTCCGGTACCAGAAAGAAAAAGAGAGCCGAAAGTAAGAGCGTCGCCGGAAAGTGACGATACATCTTCTTCTTCTTCTTCTTCTTCTTCTTCTTCTTCTTCGATCTTTTTCAAACTTTTCCGATTGGATTCGTGGGATCGTTGTAGTCAGACTCAGATCTCCTTTCTAGTAATTTTTCTACCAACGAGATTTTAATTTCCTTTGCATCAATTCCGGCTAAACTCTTTCAAAAAAATATAATAGTAAACCGGTTTACCAAGCCTTTGACCAGGGTATTGGTTTTTCACAACATAATGTGGAGTTTGAAAATACGAAACAATATCAAACATTAACGAGTGCATTAAACTGAAAGCTAAACATGGTTTTTTACAAATCATTCGCCCCAAATGCAAAGGCCGTGCAAGTTAAATGATCAATGATATGAAGATTAAATGCTTGTTTTGGATTTTTGAATTTTTTTGACACCCTGATTTCGTCATTCCTCTTCCTCTAAAGAACCAGACCGACTGACTGTATCAACTTCTAACGCTCCAACCGTTTTTTTCAGTGACTGTCATTTCTCTAGATCCGTGGGTCTACCACTGTCTAACGGTTGGTGCGTTAATCCGGAAAGCTCGTAGGACTTGTTTACTGACTCTGTAATCATCACATGTTTTTTTAAATGTTTTGTCCTCACTCGCATGATACCAAAGACAACTTCCCGGTAGATCATTCATCATGAGATTTTCCCAGTTCAAACACGCTTAACTTTGGAGTTCTTTCAAGACCAATGTCTGAAAAGATAAGTGTACTTTAGAGATACCAATAACCCAATCAATTTTTATAAGACTCTCCGCATATACCAAAAATCGAGATTTTACACTTTTTTAATCTTTTTTTGGTTTTTTTAATCAATAATTTTACGTAAATGCAAGACTCAAAACAAACAAGTCAAAATATAAGAAAGATAATTCACAATTAAATTACAAAATATAGTTAGAAAAATTAACACTACAAGAAAACAATCGTTTTCCAACGGTCCATTACGACGGTTTTTAAATCGTCGCAAACTTACAACGATTTTACGACGATCTTACGTCTAATTTAAAAACCGTCGTATAAAAAAATCGTCGTAAACTCGACGTACAATTTACGACGAATTACGACGATTATACATCGATAACGAGAGATTTGCTAGTAAATGTAAAATCGTCGTAAATTCGTTGCAAAATTACGACGAATATACGACGACTACATTTCGATGTACATATTACGACGATTTTACGTCGAAAAAAGAGTTAGGTGAAAAACATTTAAAACATGTTTACCTAACAATTGTAGATGAAAATTTTTATCGCAAAATCGTCGTAAACTCGTCGTAATATTATTGTTGAATGTAAAACCGTCGTAAAAAGTCGTCGTAAAAGCGTTGTAAAGCCCGAAATTTTCCTATAAATAGATCTTCATTCCTTCATTCAATCACAACACATCATCATTCAAACATAAGAGCATCTTCATCTTGGAGACCCATTGTAGGTCTCTTAAATTTTAGTATAGTGTTGTAAATCCTTATATATTGGGTTGTCCATTGCCGGAAACCCGAATTAAGAGTTAAATTACTTTGAAAAAAAGAAGTAATAATATTATAAGGTTAATTTACTCTATTCACGTGGCTAGACATGACACAAGAGACCACCTCCTTTATTGTCTAATCAATAGAAAGAGATAGTATTGTGAGTTTATTTTCAAGATGTCTATATACGAGCTAAGAAGTTGGATGTATATGCGTAAAGATTCAGATGGGGCGTTGACAGAAGAGTTCAAGAACGGGTTAGAAATATTTATGTATCAGGCTACAAATATGGAGAGAACGAAAGATAGTGGGAAGATGTTTTGTCCTTGTTTGAAATGCAAGAATACGAGGTATACACTAACCAAAACCATGTGGACGCATTTATTAAATAGAGGGTTTATGCCGCAATATTTTGTTTGGTATCTACATGGAGAAAGATATGGCAGTAATACTGGGAATGCTGGTAGTAGTAGTAATTATCAAAGTCATGTTGATATTGATGAATCGAATTATGGTCATCAGCCTAATCAGTATCAATATGACCAAAGTGTAGATCATGATAGGATGCACGAAATGGTGACTGATGCATTTCATGAAACGCATACGGGTAATGCTGTTGAGGAACCTAATGTAGATGCCAAACGATTTTATGATTTGTTAGACAATGCTAATCAGCCAATCTACGAAGGATGTAGAGAAGGCTTGTCTAAATTATCGTTGGCAGCTAGGATGATGTCAATTAAAACAGATCATAACCTGGCTGAGGTTTGCATGGATGATTGGGCTGATCTTCTGAAGGAGTATCTACCGGAGGATAACTTGGCAGCGGGAACATACTATGAAATTCAGAAGTTGATTTTTAGTCTTGGTCTACCTTCTGAGATGATAGATGTATGTGTTGACAATTGTATGATTTTTTGGAAAGATGATGATCAGCTGGAGGAATGTCGATTTTGCCAAAAACTAAGATACAGGCCGCAAACTGGTGAGCGTAAAAGGATACCGTACCAACGTATGTGGTATCTCCCTATAACTGATAGGTTAAAACGGCTTTATCAATCTGAAAGGACAGCTGCATCAATGAGATTCAATGAGATGGCATGTGGAACATACACAATTAGATGGAGAAGTTGTTCATCCATCAGATGCAAAGGCATGTAAACACTTCAATATGGTATACCCAGATTTTGCTAAGTTCAAACGGAATGTCTATCTTGGTCTGTGCACTGATGATTTTAGTCCATTTGGTATGTCTGGTAGACAATATTCATTATGGCCAGTAATCCTAACTCCTTATAACCTTCCTCCAGATTTGTGCATGCAAAGGGAATTTCTTTTCCTAAGTATTTTGGTTCCAGGTCCAAATCATCCGAAGCGAGCTCTCGATGTATTTCTTCAGCCACTCATACATGAGTTGAATCAGTTATGGTATACTGGCGTTCGTACATATGACTGTTCTACGAGGAAAAATTTTACTATGCGGGCTGTGCTAATGTGGACAATAAGCGATTTCCCCGCTTATGGTATGCTATCAGGATGGACTACACATGGGAGGCTATCTTGTCCTTATTGTCTTCATCGAACTGATGCGTTTCAGCTAAAACATGGTAGAAAAACTTGTTGGTTTGATTGTCACCGGAGGTTTTTACCGGATAACCATCCATATCGGAGGAACAAAAGGTTATTTATGAAGAACAAAAGTGTACATGTCCCTCCACCCGTTAATTTAACAGGAGCTGATATACAGGCGCAAATCGATCATTGGAGGACAGAAGAAACAGTAACTCGTGGGGGAAACTGGCACACTCCTGCAAATATGTCTGAAGGTTATGGATTTCATCATAATTGGCACAAGAAAAGTACCTTTTGGCAACTACCTTATTGGAAAGATCATCTGCTCAGACACAATCTTGATGTCATGCACATTGAAAAAAACTTTTTTGATAACATCATGGATACAGTTATGAACGTAGCGGGAAGAACAAAAGACAACTAACTATGGAGTTTGTGTGAGGGGTGAAATCGATTTTTATGGAGTTGTGCAAGAAATAATTGAAGTAGAGTATCCTGGATTGTTAAGGCTGAAAACTGTTCTCTTCAAATGTGATTGGTTTGATCCAACTGTTGGACGAGGGGTACGTCTAAACAAGTTTGGAGTTGTTGACGTGAACAAATCACGACGGTACAACAGGTTTGAGCCATTTATATTAGCTTCTCAAGCAGAACAGGTAACGTTTATGCCATACCCTCGAGTTCGATCAACATGAATTTCATGGTTAGCAGTAGTTAAAGTGGCTCTGAGGGGCAAGATTGTAGGGGTTGAGGATGTTCCACTTCAACAGGACACTTGCGTAGATCTGTCTGAACCAGATGTTGATGAGGAGATTTTCTTAATAGACCCTCGGAACAGGCAAGTTGAAGATCTTTCCGATGATACAGAAGAAGAAGGTGATGATGAGTTTGCTGAAACCGATGATGACGATTTGGCAGAAGAAGACGACGGTGATGGTGATGAAGTAATAGAGGAAGATGAATCTGATTGAGTTTCATGCATTGTATTTAGTGAATGTTTGTTATTATGTAATTTGTAACTTTGTTTGTTTGAATTTTTAATAAACCCTAAAATTCGATTTTACGACGGTTTTACGACGGTTTTTCTAAACCCTAAACCCTAAGTCTAGGTTTTAAGCCCTGAATGAATAGGGTTTCAACATTACGACGTCTTTACGACGAACCATCGTAATATCGTCGTAAAGTTACGACGATTTTACGACGAGTACACTATTTCGTTGTAATGTTGAAATCCAAGAATTTGAATCTTTTATATCTTATTGGTTGTAAGGTATTTCACAAATGTTTTTGATTGGTTATCTTATTTTATATGAAATGCTATCAATCTGATCAAAATCAAAAAATTGAGAAAAAAACATACATATTTACAAGTTCATGCATGTTTTCGTAAATGTTAAGTGAAAGGTTATATATTAGATTACGGAATTTCAATTTTTACTATCTCATGTCATAAATCCATCATACATGCAAAGTTATAAACCTTTTGTTATATGTTAGGATACAATAACCTTTGCATTGTTCTTTATGCAATATCCCATTTATAAGATTTAGGGTTTACTCACTTTTTTAAAAAACATCGTAAAACCGTCGTAAAACCGTCGTAACTTTTGCACCGGATAGGCTCTTGATCCGAGGTACGAGGTTATGAATGTTTAGACGTTACGACGGTTTTGGGTTTAATCGTCGTAAAACCGTCGTAACGGTCAAATGCTCCCATCATGACACGTGTCATGTCATGCAGTGGACCGACTGTTATACAACCGAATCGTCGTAAAACCGTCGTAAAACCGTCGTAATGTTACGACGATTTTACGACGATCACAAAATCTATATAAGGGATGCGAGATTTCCTCCTTCGTCGCTCATTCCTCTCTTCCCTCTCTCTCTCTAGAAATCTCTCTATCTCTCTAGAAATCTACCTCTCCCTTCTCTCCCTACTCTCCAGCCAATTAATTTGTAAGTATTTTTGTTAAATTAATTTCATTACATATTATTTTAGATTTAGGTTCAGAATTTAGATTTAGGTTCGGAATTTAGATTTAGGTTTCGGAATTTGGTTAGGCCCGGATTTTGGT